AGGGGGGGGTGGGGGGTAGGAAGGAGGTGTGAATGAGCAGATAAGGTTTCCACAACCGTGATTCGAAGATGACTTTTTGCACTATTGTCCAGGAATCTCAGTTTTGCTGCTTAAAAACAATCTCCCTTCTGGCTGCTTTTCTCAAGACTACTCCCAACTTGCACTCATCCTTCAAACGGCGAGAGAGAGTGAAAAATCCGAGAGACTGATACATTGACTATGGCTAACAAGTTATTGTTGATTGGGATGTAATCAATTATCTCCAATGGCATGTCTCTCGCTCTCTCGTTGCCTCTCCCTGCCTTATGCAGCCGTTTGCAGGCTGGGAGCTCCATTAATTACCAGGCACGGCTGGTAGGTGGAGCCCAGTTGAATTATAATGCCTAATGCACTTGTCACTTTCTCCCCCCTATCATTTGTTTGGCCATATATATTTTTTAAATTTAATAATTGAGGAGTGCAGGTAAGACAACAACTTGAGTGTATATGTGTGTGTATATGTAGAAATATATTGGTTTTAAGCTTTTTCTTCTGTCTAAGGCATGCTATTTGGTTGTGTTTATCTTAACGAGAGGTAGAAAATGATTTAGCTAGCATTATGTGTATATCTATGTGATACTTACTCAAAGCCAGATGCTGCCGTTATGGTGTTCACGAAATCTAATACAATGATTTCTTTTGGTGTCACCCTGTCATGGGCTAGAACAGCGGGCGAAGCAGCCAGTGAATTCTGATGGACGGACAGAAGGACAGTGAGACAGATAGGCAACAGTGTGCTCTATAATCCCAGCGATGCTCTCTCCTGGAGACTCTGAATCTAGTCTCTGTTCCAGGGGCCACAGAATAGCGGCTCATAGCTCAGAAAATATGACATATCATTAAAGATCTCGTATATCTTGTAAAACATAGGCTCGGGATGCAGAATAAAGCCAGCAAGCCAGGCCGGCATCTAACGGAGGATAAACAGCTTCTCCTTGAAGTATGGCTTTATCAGGAGGAGAGGAAATAAACATTGGGCTCAGCTGATGCTTTATCAGTTTAATGAAAGGGCCAAAGGGACCCAGGAATCAACCAAAGCCACTTTCTAAGTGACTGATACTCTCATTGCCAAGTGCTGCAAGTCTGCAAGGCTGTTGGTTATTCATTATAATATACCAAGAATAATACAATAATAATAATAATAATAATAATGATAAAAAAATATTACTATAATAATAACAACAATAATATATACAACTGCCTGCCTATCTATCTATCTATCTATCTATCTATCTATCTATCTATCTATCTATCTATCTATCCATCCATCCATCCATCCATCCATCTATCTATCTATCTATCTATCTATCTATCTATCTATCTATCTATCTATCTATCTATCTATCTATCTATCTATCTATCTATTCATCCATCTCTTTCCTTTGCTCTCTCTTCAAATTCCTCTGTATTTTAGTATTCCCCACGTCTAATATTTAAGATCACGAAATGCCCATATAGATAGCTCCATCTCTTAAAGGGACCTTCCCTATTTCATCAGACACGAGTTTTGTTTATCACGTTGTTATTGCATTGTGGGTAAATACTACTCTACCGTATCACCTTCTTTTAAGAATTTCGGGATCTATAGACCTCGGCTGTCCTTCTGAAGGTACCGTTGCACAATAGAAGCTAGAATTATTTTTATTTTCCCACTCAATTCGTTTAAGTCAAACTTGTTTTGATAACAAAAGACAGGCGGTGTAATGTGCATGGATCAACAGCTAATTAGAATTCAGAATTATGTTAAAGCTACTGAAAGCTTAATTTTGATTGGTTGCAATGGGCTAGGTATCACTGCTGTTTTTTTTGTTACATAATTGTGTTTATACAAAAAAAAAAAAAAGAGAGAGAGAGAGAGGAGGAGAGAGCATTAGATAGAAGGATACTTATGCAAGGAAAGGAAGAGTGAATGAGATGTAACGAAAGAAAGAAAGAAAGAGAGAGAGAGAGAGAGAGAGAGAGAGAGAGGGAGAGAGAGAAAGACAGAGAGAGAAAGAAAAAAGAAAAAAAGAAAGCAAGACATAATAGACACCACTAGAATGCGAATATACATTGTCGGGTATTTAGACTGTATCTATTGCTATGTGATTATTCCATCCAATGCTCTGCACTGCTTTGTGTTTATCACATATTATTGACTGTGCATCAGTGCAATGCCTCCTGGTCACGTGCATCTCTCCATCCAATACGAATTCTTCTTTCCTCTCTAGCAATATATGGATAAAGCATGAAAAAAAAAAATAAACAAGGAAACTTTGAACTCAATAAGGAATAGTAGGAAGCCAAAGTTGAAACGGTGACCAGCAAGCCATTGACCTGCTCTTCCTGCAGTCTCCTGGGAAGGCCATTATTAATGTGTGCTTCTTATCTTTAATTACTTACACAGGTGTTGTCAGGCACAGAAGACTGAGACACTGCAATGGGTGACAGGAGTAAAGAGACATGCATACATAAAAGAGGTAATTTTTTTTAGCAAGAAGGCACATAGTGCCTGGGACTTTATTTATTAGACATCGCTAGATTCACATATATACCGTTTATAGCATGCTTTGAGTCGCTTGCAATTTGGACACATTTGC